CAATAAGGTGCCACATAAAAAGGTCACTGCACAAGATGAGCAGAACCTAATGCGCTTTAATAAACGGTCACGTTGCCGCACACAATTGTGCGTGCTCATAGCCCATCGTCACTGTATATTTATGTAGTGACCTTATGAATGAACAGGAAAATTGAAGTAGACCAATATTGGCAAAGCCATAAGAGGTAGACTTTGAGGACGTAGTCATACATAGCATGTCCCAAAGTGTTTCACAGCCATTTATATGTAGTCATTTCTTTAAGAATGGCAGTTAAATTGCACAAACCAAACTATCTCAAAGCAGTGAAATTAATTACCAGATTATGGGCTGACTTTGGCTTAAGTGTCATTTTCATTGCATTTAATGGAGAGTTTCTCTGTGAGGCTTAGCATTTTGTTTCCTCATTCTGTTGTCCCAAACTCACCACATTAACTCTGCATCACACCCCTGTGGTGCTCCACTTGTCAATGTGAGCCGTATGTACCCCAGCCCCACCCCACCCCACCCTCCAAACAGAAGTACTTGCCAGAATATCCTGGGATCCCTGGGGCTATATTTGACACAAATTCATAGACCCTGTCAAGTGTCGTCAGTACAAAGTTACCCTTCATGCGGGTAGTGGGACATTGAGAACATCCCAATTTTCTCAGAGCACATAGGTGGTATGGCTACTACTTCATTTCACATAAAACTACACATTCCTACACCTATCGCTATTTCAATACCAGCCAACAAGGCTTGCCTACCCTCAGTCACCTCCCATCTTACATCCCTACGTCATTGCTACAATAAAGACTACGAGACGTAAAAGCAGAAGTGGGCCATTCAACCTGTTGAGTCTGTTATGCTCTTCAATGAGGTCAGGGCTAATTTGATAATCCTCAACTCCACTATTCTGTCTATTTCTCATAGCCATTGATTCCCTTACTGATTAAAAATCTGTTTATCTCAGCCTTGAATATATTTAACAGCCTAGCCTTGACACCCCTCTGTGGTAAAGAATTCCACAGATTCATTACCCTCGGAAGAAATTCTTTCTGGTCCCTTTTAAATGAAGGAACCCTTATTCTAAAATTACTCCCTCTGGCCCTCGACTCTCCCACAATAAGAAATAATGTCAGCATCTACTCTGTCAAGTCCCCTAAGAATTTTGTATGTTTCAATAAGGCTGTCTGCCATTCTTCTAAGTTCAAATGATCACAGGACCAATCTACTAAATCCCTCCTCAAGACAGCTGTTTCCATATCTGGTACCAACCTAATGAACCTTCTCTGAACTGCCTCCCGTGCCAGTCCATCTTTCATTAGATTAGAGGCCTGAAACTGTTCACAGTATTCCAGCTGTGGTCTAACTCGTGTCTTGTATAGTTTAAGAAACCCCTCCCTTTATTTATACTCTTCCCTTTGAAATAAAAGCCAACATTCCATTTGCCTTACCTATTATCTGCTCAACTTGGATGTTAGCTTTTTGTGATTCATGGTCAAGAACTCCCAAAACCCTCTGTTCTGTAACTTTCTGTAGTCTTCCTTCTGTGTCCCTCTGCAGATCGTGTTATGCTCAGCACTTGCCTTCCCACCTATTTTTTGACAGTACATTACATTCATGTCATTAATATAATAAACAATTATAGCCCCAGCACTGATCCCTGTGACAGACCACTATGCTGAAAATGCCCTCCTTATTGCAACTCTCTGCTATTATTTAGCCAATCCTCTATCCACACGAGTATACAACTTCCAACATCATGAACTCTTGTCGAACGCTTTCTCAAAATCCAAATATATTACATCCACTGCTTCCGATTTATCCTACTTGTCACCTTCTCGAATAATTCTAGTAATTTTTTCACATAAATTTGCCTTCTAAGGCCATGTTGACTCTGCTGGATCATATTATGCATTACTAAATGCTGTGCTCTTGCATCCATTATGACAAATATTTTCCCAATAACAGACTTTAAGCTAACTAGCCTACAGTTACCTTTTCTTCACTTTCCCATTTTAAGTAAAGGTGTTGCATTGGCAGATTCCCAGTCCTTTGGCACTTTGAGTCATACAGCATGGAAACTGATCCTTTGGTCCAACTAGTCTATGCGACTGTGTTCCCAAACTAAACCAGTCCCACTTGCCCGCATTTGGCTTATATCCCTCCAAACCTTTCCTATGCATGTACTTACCCAAATGTCTTTTAAATGTTGTAATTGTACCTGCATCCACCACTTCCTCAGGTGGTTCATTTCACATATGATCACTCCTTGTGTTAAAAAAAAAAAAATTGCCCCTTAGATCCTTCTTAAATCTTTCTCTTGTCACCTTAAAAATATGCCCCTAATTTTGAAATCCCCCACCCTCTGGGCAAAGACCCTTGCTATTCATCTTATCTATGCCCCTTAGGAGTTAATAAGTCTCATTTCCAGTGAAAAAGAGTCCCAGCCTATCTCCAATACATTCCCAGCAACATCCTGGTAATTCTTTTCTGAGCCCTCTCCAGTTTAATAATATCTTTACTATAGTAGGGCAATCAAGAACTGGACACAATACTCAAGAAGAGGCCTCACCATCTTCCTGTACAACTTCAACATGACATCCTAATTCCTATACTCAAAAGATCTGAGCCATGAAGACAAACGTGCTAAATACCTTCTTAACTACCTTGTCCACATGTGATGCAAATTTCAAAGAATATGTACCTGAGCCCCCAGGTCTCTCATTTTTACAACATTACCCAGGGCCCTTGTTTGTTTTACCAAATTGCAATATCTCGCATTTATCCAATTAAACTCCATCTGCCACTCCTCAGCCCATTGGCCCAATTGATCAAGATCTCTTTGCAATCCTAGTTAACCTTTTTCACTGTCCACTATCCTACCAATTTTGGTGTCATCTGCAAATATACTAACCGTGTCTCCCAAAGTCTCATCCAAATTGTTCATCTAAATGACAAATAAGTGTGGACCCAGTAGCAATTGCTGTGGAACACCGCTGGTCCAGTCTGAAAAACAATCTTCCATCACCACCCTCCTGTCTCCTACTGTCAAACCAATTTTGTATCCAATTGGCAAGCTCTCCCTGAATCCCAGATTATTATTAAAATGTTTTCCCACCAAGTCCAATGGACTTATCAGTCTTTAGCCCAATTAGTTTCCCTAACTTTTCCTACTGATAGTTATTGTATTTATTTCCTCTTCCTCTTTGCCTTTTGCAGATGTAGTAATTTTGGAATGTTATTAGTGTCTTCTACTGTGAAGATTGATACAAAGTATTTATTCAACAACTCTGCCATTTCCTGGATCCCCATTATTATTCCTTCAGCCTTTTTCTCTAAGGGTTCTATGTTCATTTTGGCTTCTTCCCTTTTTTTTTAAAATTAAAGCTTTTCCTGTCCATCTTTGTTATTACTTAGTCGTATACCCTCAAATTTTGAGACAACACAGTGCGGAGCTGGAGGAACACAGCAGGTCAGGCAGCATAAGAGGAGTAGGAAAGTCAACGTTTCAGGTCAGGACCATCCTTAAGAATGGGGGAGGGGAAGGGAGCTGGGGGATAAATAGAGGGAGGAGGGCTGGGGAAAGGTAGGTACAGGTAGAGGATGGTGGGATTAGTCAGTAGGAAGGGTGGGGCAGATAGGTGGGAGAAGAGATGGATGGGTTGTGTTAAGTCAAGGAGGTGAGAGGGAGGATGGGTGGGGCTGGGGAAAGGTGGGTAGGGTGGTGATAGGTGGATGCAGGTAGGGGGAGTGGAGATTGGTTGGTGGGAAGGGTGGGTGGATAGGTGGAGAAGATGATGCACAGATTGTGTCAGGTCAAGTAGGTGAGGATGAGAGGGAGGTTTGGACATGGGATGAGGCTGCGGGTGGGGAGATTTTAAAACTGTTGCAGCAGAGAAACCTGTTTTTGAAGGCTGTGGGTACCGTAGGTAGTAGTTGTCATTTGGGCCAAATTGGGATGGTCTGAATGTTGTTCGGAGTCCATTGGGGATGATCTGGCTGTGTAGGCAGATACTTAGTAAGGACCAGGTTTTTTTGAGTATGTGGTCGAAGAGCTATCTCCAAGTGACTTGTAACCCCACTGCGAAGCCTCTACTAAGGATGCCCACCTTGAAGTTGTCCTCCTCCCTCTGAAAAGACCGCAGTGGATCTCTCTCCCACTGCAACCCACTGGTAATCTCCTCTGCCCTGAAGCTCTTCAGCCATATAGATCGCCTTCCCACACACAGACCAATCCCCACCTGCACTCACCTATCACCATTCCAACTACCTTTCCCCCAGCCCCATCCCTCCTCTATTTATTTCCCAGCTCCCTTTCCCCTCCCCAATCCTGATGAAGGGTCCCGACCCAAAATGTTGACTTTCCTGCTCCTCTGATGCTGCCTGGCCTGCTGTGTTCCTCCGCCTCCACACTGTGTTCTCTCTGATTCAGCATCCGCAGTGTTTGCTATCTCCTACCCTCAAATTTTATTTTCTCTTTTTTTTAAACTTTTCTGATTGTCTGGCTTACCATTAATTTTTGCGAAATTGCATGATTTTTCTTTCCATTTGATGTTCTCCTTACCTACCCTGGTTAGCCATTGTTTACTTATCCCCCTTCCGACAATCCTTCTTCCTCACTGGGATATATCTTTCCTGTTTGTCTGATGCCTTGTGTAGTCGAATATGTTATTGCTGTTCAATGTGGGTCTGTCACATTAAGGGGGCCCTCGATTTCTTCAAAATTTTCACTTTCATTTTCCAAGATCAAAAGCAAACTCTTGTCAAACGCCCAGAAACTGTGTATGACTTTCACAGTGAGCCCCCAACAACAATAAATTATCATTTATTTCACCCAGCTGTCAAAACAAAAACTGAAACAGAAGTTGCTGGAAAAGCTCAGCGGGTCTGGCAGCTTCTGTGGAGAGAAATCAGGGTTAGTGAGGTTTGGTGACCCTTCCCCAGGCCCAGGCCTGAGCCTGGCCTCCATCAGGGGGCAGGTTCCTCCTTCCCCCCGAGGGGCGATGGGGGCCAGAGCAGGAGGAGAAGGCGGTAATAACCGCCGCGGCCACCCACCCACAAAAGACCGGGTCCCCTCCCCCCCCAAGACCGGTCTGAACCCACCCGGGGGGGATCAGTCTCCAGCGACAGGGAGAGTCGATGAGTTTGTTATTTTCACTGGTTTTTATTGTTTAATTTTGAGTAGTTTTTATTTTATTGGTTTTGAGTTTTGATTTTCACTGGTTTTTATTGATTTTGATGATTTATTGATTTTTTTTGACCTGAAGCTCGGGCGGGATTTGAACCCGTGACCCTAGGGCGTTTCCACGCGAGATTTTGAGACCTCTGCAGGTTCCCCCTGCGGCAATGCGTGGAGCTGCAGTCCATGGATCAGTCTCCCCTATGATCGATTCGTCTCCCCTGACATCGATCGGTCTCCCTATGTTCGACTGGTTTCCCCCTGTGATCGATGGTGGTTGCTCAAGGTTTGATTGTTCGGTCTAACCAAGATGGCGGCGCTGCGGTTGGTGCGGGGCCTTCTGAAGGAGCTGCGGAGCCTGGGCCTAGGTCCGGACTCGGGGCCGGTGCAGGGACACAGTTACCGGGAGACCGCCGCCTACACGTACATCTTGCAGCAATTTAGGAAGAACCAGGTCATAACCAGGCCATTCAGCCCATCGAGTACAGTAGGGGGGGAGCTTTTCTCTGTATCTAACCCCGTGCTGTCCCTGACCTGGGAGTGTTTGATGGGGGATGGGGTGGGGGCAGTGTCGAGGGAGTTGGGGGTTTGATGGGGGATGGTGAGAGACCATAAAACGTAGGAGCAGAAACATATCATTCAGCCCATCAAGTCTGTTCCACCATTCAATGGCTGATCTGATAGTCCTCAACCCCATTTGCTGCCTTTTCCCCATGACACTTGATTCCCTTACTGACCAAAATCTCCGTCTTGAATATCCTTAATGACACAGCCTTCTGCAGTGAAGAATTCCACAGATTCACTCCCCTCTGAGAGAAGAAATTTCTCTTCTTCTTTGTCTGAAATATGTAACTCCTTATTCTGAGTCTTTTTTTCCCTCTGAGACAACCTCTCTGTAACTACTCTGTCAAGATTGCCAAGAGTCTTATATGTTTCAATGACGTGACCTCACATTCTTCTGAACTCTCATGAGGCCCAACCTCAAAGAATAATACAGTGCTAAACAGGCCCTTCAGCCCATTGAACCTGGACCACCAAGAATTCATTACCTATGCTAGCCCTACCTTCCCACACTAAGCCCATAGCCTTGAATGTAATGACACTTCAGGTGCTCATCCAAGAACTTTTTAAAGGTTGTGAGGTTTCCTGCTTCAACTCCCCTCCAAGGTAGTGCATTCCAGGTTCCCCACCACCCTCTGGGTGAAAATAGTTTTCCTAAAACACACTCCAAACTTACTGCCTTTCACTTTAAAATTGTGTTATTGACCCTTTGACTAAGGGGAGCAGCTGCTTTTTATCCATGCTGTCTATGCCTGTCAATCCAATACACCAGTATCAGACCCTCCTCAGCCTTCACTGTTTCAAAGAAATTAAGCTGAGGTTATCCTGCCTGTCTTCATCACTGAAATGCTCCATCTCAGGCAATATCCTGGTGAATCTCCTGTGCACCCCGTCCAGTGCAATCACAACCTTGCTATAGTGTGGTGACCAGAACTGCACACAATACTCCAGCTGTGGCCTCACCAAAATCTGTAGAGCACCAACATAACCTCTCTGCTCTTACAATCTGTGCCACGACTGATAAGGGCAAACATCCCAAATGTCTTTTTAACTACCTTATTAAGCTGTCCAGCTATCTTCAGGGTCAAGATCCCTCCGTTCCTTTGAGCTTCCAAGTCAACCTGCTCAGCCTCTCATTAAACAATCCCTCCACACCCAGGATCGTTCTCATGCAACATCTCTGGACTGTCTCCTACTCCCTACCTTTCTAGTCTAAGACTAACACCCCTCCACCCCAAGGCCTCAAACCATCTTGTTTCAATGCTAACATTTCCACCATAGGTGTGCTGCAATCTTCCGGTGAGACACAATGCAAGCTGGAGGGACAGCACCTCACATTCTGCTTAGGCACTTTACAGCCTTCAAGACTCAACATTGAGTTCACCAACTTCCTTACAATCTTCTCCCTTTCCCCCACCCACAGGCTTGGCTTGTTTTATTTTCTGACCAACCTGTTCAGAGTCATAGAGTCATACAGTACAGAAACAGACCCTTCAGTCCAACCAGTCCATGCCAACCATAATTCCAAACTAAACTAGTCCCACCTGCCTGCACTTGGCCCATATCCCTCCAAACATTTCTTATTCATGTACTTATCTAAATGTCTTTTAAACATTGTAACTGTACCTACATCCACCACTTCCTCTGGAAGTTTGTTCCACACACAAACAGCACTCTATAAAGAAATTGCCCCTCGTGTCTTTTTTAAATCTTTCTCCTCTCACCTTAAAAAATGCCCACTGGTCTTGAAATCCCCCACCCTGGGGAAGAGATGCCTGCCATTCACCTTATCTATACCCCTCATGATTTTATAAACCTCTATAAAGACAACTGTCAACCTCCTAAATTCCAGTGAAAAAAAGTCCTGCCTATTCCAGCTTCTCCCTATAACTCAAACCCTCCATTCCCAGCAACATCCTGGTAAATCTCTTCTGAGCCCTCTCTAGGTTAATAATATCTTTCCTATAACAGGGTGACCAGAACTGGACATGTTACTCCAGAAGAGGCCTCACCAACATCCTGTACAACCTCAACATAACATCCCAACTCCTAAACTCAAAGGTCTGAGCAATGAAGGCAAGCATACTAAATACCTCTTAACCACCCTGTCTACATGTAAGCAAACTTCAAAGAATTATGTACCTGAACCCCTAGATCTCTCTGTTCTATAACACTACCCACTTCTAATTGTGTAAGTCCTGCCATTGTTTGTTTGATGAAAATACAATACAATTTGTCAAACATATGTTACCAAAATGTTGCTATCACACACAGTTGGAGTAGGTGGGACTTGTATCTGAGCCTCCAACAGGATTGTCCTGTTTACTTTGTTGTTGGTAGAGAGGACCCATATTTGTCTCTATCACATCTTGACTTACCCCAATTCTACACCTCTTTTTATTTTTCAGTACAATTAACAATCCCTTTGTCTTTTACCTTGGGCCTACACACCAACTGTTTCCCTTGTTCCGTCTCCACCTCAGTCAAATGTATAAAAGTCACTATTTTCCAACCCCTTTCAGTTCTGAAGAAGTCATACCAGACTTGAAACATTAACTCTGTCTCCTCACATACGACTGCAGTCCTGCTGAGTTTCTACAGCATTCTGTGTTTGTTTCAGATTTCTAGCATCTGCAACATTTTGCCTTTTATTTGAGAGACTGAATGACGGTTCTGTCCAATTCCATCCCCTACCACCCTCCCCACCCACATATCTTACCCTTCAAACCCCTCTCTCATGCTTCACCTGGGTGATGAGCAGGGTTAGTTTCAGCCTTTAAATATGTCAAGAATTTCTGGTGTGACACTGACTGATAGGCTGCTCATTCCCTGTGAGGGGCCATTCAGGAGCTTTCCTGTAATAAGTTGCAAAGATCGTAACACTGGAAAGTTCACAGTTCTCAAGCTGCTTTACCAAGAGACCTGAGGCGACATTCCTGGTTACAACAGTTTGTAGTAATTCGCAGCTAAAGCTCTGGCTCGTTCTGATCAGATCAGCATTTTTCTGGGTGCTAGTTATTTTGGAAATTGATTTGGCTGACAGTGTTGCTCTGTTAGTGGGATCTTTATTTGCAAATGAGTAGTTTAATTTTAGTGATTGCTTGAAATGAAGTTTTCAGTAAAGTTTACTGAACAATGTGGCAATGGCATGTTGGTCTAGGGGTATGATTCTCGCTTTGGGGATTATAGATCGCGAATGTGCGAGAGGTCCTAGGTTCAATTCCCAGACGAGCCCTGATGATAGCAGGTTTTTGGTTCTGGGGTGGCACGGCGGCTCAGTGGTTAGCACTGCTGCCTCACAGCGCCAGGGACCTGGGTTTGATTCCACCCTCGGGCGACTGTCTGTGTGAAGTTTGCACATTCTCCCTGTGTCTGCGTTGGTTTCCTCCCACAGTCCACAGATGTGCAGGGTAGGTGGATTGGCCATGGGAAATTGCCCACAGTGTTCAGTGATGTGTAGATTAGGTGTGTTAGAGGGGGATGGGTCTGGGTGGGATGCTTTGAGGGTCGGTGTGGACTTGTTGGTCCGAAGGGCCAGTTTCCACACTGTAAGGATCCTATGAATGTTAATAACCACAAGCAAAAACAGAAATTGCTGGAAAAGCTCAGCAGGTCTGGCAGCATCTGTGAAGAGAAATCCGAGTTAACGTTTCAGGTCTGGTGATCCTTCCTCAGAACTGCTTCCCCACTTCTGAGCTTTCTAGCTTTTCCAGCAATTTCTGTTTTTGTTTCTGATTTAAAATATCTGCAGTTCTTTCGGTTTTTATTTAATGTTAATAACCAGTTGCTCACTCTGGCTTGGTACAGGTTACCAGTGGGAAACTGTGCCGTGCTCACCATGAACTGTATCACCAAGCCTCCACCTACATGTGCCTCCTGCAGAGTGTCCGGCAGCACCTAGCTCTACACCAGGAGTACCACAGCAAGGGAGACCGGTCACCCCATGAAGTGGCACAGCTTGTTGGCCTCAAACTGCCACAGCAACCCGGAGGCAAAGGATGGGAAAAATGAGGAGGAGGAAAAGCAGCCTTAGTTCCAGAGTACATCTTGTTGATGAATACATCTTGTTGATGAACACATTGTTGTAATTCCGATGGTCTTGGTTATTTCACTGACAATGTAGGTGTGGCCTGTGGGCTGTTGTTGTTTCCTGTATATAGTGCAGCTCCTCAGGATCTCAGTGGTTCGTGAAGTGATTAAAAACAGACTCCATTTAAACCAAGTTTGTGACTGTGATATTTATTATTGAAACAGAGATTAATGTGAGGCCTGGAGAGATGAGATTCAGAATCCCAGCCTTGTATTTGAAACCTGTTCATTCTGCACCGTTTGAGCTTTTCAGTCTCCTGTCCATTCTGAATGATTCTGTTTGAAGTACCAGTCACTGACCCTGTTTCGTTTTCCTCCTAATTCCCTCCCCACCCTAAAAGTGTTGACTCTGTACAATCCAGATAGTTTCAGCTATCATTCTCTGCTCTGCCTCTGACAATCTGCCAGCTGATTTTCCCAGGCTGTTTCATTAACAGGACCTAGTCAGACCCCGTCATAGAGTTTCTCCTTAAAATGCTCTTTCAATGCCCTGTAAACCTCCAGCTCCTTACTGTAAATCTGTGTCCCCCACCCCCACCCCCAGCCAAAGTTATTGAGCCCACTGCTAGTGGGAACTATTTCTTCCTGTTATAGTTTTGTACTCCTCAGTCAGGTCCTCATCAGACTGTTCCAAGGAAAATAACACCAATTTGTCGAGTCTGTCTTCATAGCTAAAACACTCCTAGTCCAGGCAACATCCTGGTGAATCTCTACACCCTCTCTAGTGCAATCACATCCTTCCTATAGAATGGTGATTAGGTCAGGCTCCTACTTATTGACTACAGCTCCACCTCCAACACCATAATTCCAACCAAACTAACCACCAAACTCCGAGACCTCCTGATCCACAGACCGCAATCAGTAAGAATAGGCAACAACATTACTGTATGGTCAAATTCCATCCTAACTCCATCTACAAATTCACTGACAACACTACTGTTGTCGGCCGGATCTCAAACAATGACAAGATAGAACACAGGAAAGAGACCGAGTGCTTAGTGGCATGGTATAACAATAAAAATCTCTCCCTCAACTTCAGTAAAACAAAGGAACTGGTCATTGATTTCAGGAAGCAGAGAGGTGGGCAGGCCCTCATTTACATCAATGGTCTGAGGTGGAGATGGCCGAGAATGTCAAGTTCCTAGGAGTGATGATCACCAACAATCTGTCTTGGACCGCCCATGTTGATGCGATGGTCAAGAAAGTACAACAATGCCTCTTCTTCCTCAGGAGGCTAAAGAAATTTGGCATGTCCATGAAGACTCTTCACTAATTTTTAAAGAAAGCATTCAATCCAGATTCATATGGCTTGATCTGACAACCAGGACCGTAAGAAACTACAGAGACTTGTGAGCACAGCCCAGTCCATCACGCAAACCAACCTTCCATCCATTGACTCTGTCTATACTTCTCGCTGCCTCAGGAAGGCAGCCAACATCATCAAAGACTCCACTCACCCGGTTATAAACTCTTCCAACTTCTTCCGTTGGGCAGAAGATACAAAAGCTTAAAACACGAGCCAACAAATTCAAGAACAGTTTCTTTCCCATTGTTATTAGACTTCTAAATGAACCTCTCAAATTTAAAATTAATGTTGATCTTGGTCTTTGTGAACCTTCTCTGCAGTCGTAACATTGTATCCCTCGTTCTGTTCTGTTAACCTAATGCACTTTGAATGGTATGATCTGCCTGTACCGCATGCAAAACAAAATTTTTCACTGTACATAGGTACATGTGACAATAATAAATCAATCAAATCAAGAACTGCACACAGTGTTCCAGCTGTGGCCTAACTAACAGCTGCACCACAACCTCTCTGCTCTTGTATTTAATACTTAGACTATGAAAGGCCAATGTCCTACATGCTTTCTTAATTACTCTACTGATCTATCTTGTTGTCTTCAAGGATCGGAGACAAGAACACCAAAGTCCCTCTTATCCTCTGTACTTCCAAGAGTCTTGCCATTCATTGTGTACTCCCTTGTCTTGTTAGTCCTCCCAAAATGCATTATTTCGTACTTTTCTGCCTGTCTGTATCATGCTGTAGTCTAAGGCTTTCCTCCTCACTATTTACTACACCACCAATTTCATGTCATCTGAAAACATAATGATAAAATCTCCTTTATTTGTGTCCAAATTATTAATGTCCACTTCAAACAGCAAGCTGCCCACTACTGAACCCTGTGATACCCAACTGGACACAGGTTTCCAGTCACAAAGACACCCTTCAACCATCACCCTCTTGAACAGTATGTAATGGAACCAATGCGGGAGCAAGCTATCCTAGATCTGGTCCTGTGTAATGAGACAGGAATAATTAATGACCTCATAGGGATCCTCTTGGAAGGAGTGATCACAGTATGGTTGAATTTAGAATACAGATGGAGAGTGTGAAGATAAAATCCAATACCAGGGTCCTGTGCTTGAACAAGGGGAACTACAATAGAATGAGGGAGGACTTGGCTAAAGTAGACTGGAAACAAAGATTTTATGGTGGGACAGTTGACGAGCAGTGGAGGACTTTCAAAGCAATCTTTCAAAGTGCTCAGCAAAAGTATATTCCAATGAAAAGGAAGGACTGTAAGAAAAGGGGTAATCTGCCATGGGTGTCTAAAGAAATAAGGGAGGCTATCAACTTGAAAGAGAAGGCATACAAAGTGGCCAAAAACAGCATGAAACCAGAAGATTGGGAAAACTTTAAAGGTCAACAGAAAGCCACAAAAAAGGCTATAAGGAAAAGTAAGATAGAACATGAGAAAAAACTAGCATAGAATATAAAGACAGATAGGAAAAGTTTCTATAAATATATAAAACGAAAAAGAGTGGCTAAAGTAAACGTTGGCCCTTTAGAGCAGGAGAAGGGGAATTTAGTTATGGGATATGATGAAATGGCCGAGGCATTGAACAGGTATTTTGTATCGGTCTTCACAGTGGAGGACACTAATAACATGCCAGTAATTGACAAAGAGACGAAGGTAGGTGAGGACCTGGAAACAATCATAATTACGGAAGAGGTAGTGTTGGGCAAGCTAATGGAGCTAAGGATTGATAAGTCTCCTGGCCCTGATGGAATGCATCCCAGGGTACTAAAAGAGATGGCGGGAGAAATAGCAGGTGCACTGGTGGTAATTTTCCAAAATTCGCTGGACTCTGGGGCAGTCCCAGCAGATTGGAAAACAGCAAATGTGATGCCACTGTTTAAAAAGGGAAGTAGACAAAAGATGGGGAATTATAGTCCGGTTAGCTTAACCTCTGTAGTGGGAAGATGCTTGAGTCTATTATCAAGGAAGAAATAGCAAGGCATCTTGATAGAAATTGTCCCGTTGGGCAGACGCAGGATGGGTTCATGAAGGGCAGGTCATGCTTGACAAATCTTTTGGAATTCTATGAAGACATTATGAGCGAGGTGGACAATGGGGACCCAGTGGATGTGGCGTACCTAGATTTCCAAAAGGCCTTCGACAAGGTGCCGCACAAGAGGCTACTGCATAAGATAAGGATGCATGGCATTAAGGGTAAAGTATTGGCATGGATAGAGGATTGGTTGACTAACAGGAAGCAAAGAGTGGGGATAAATGAGCGCTATTCTAGCTGGCAGTCAGTGACTAGTGGTGTGCCTCAGGGATCAGTGTTGGGACCGCAATTATTTACAATTTATATAGATGATTTGGAGTTGGGGACCACGTGTAGGGTGTCCAAGTTTGCAGATGACACTAAGATGAGTGGCAAAGCAAAGTGTGCAGAGGACTGTGAAACTTTGCAGAGGAACATAGATACATTGAGTGAGTGGGCAAAGGTCTGGCAGATGGAATACAATGTAAATAAATGTGAAGTCATACATTTTGGTAGGAGTAATAGTAAAAAGGATTATCACTTGAATGGTAAAAAGTTGCAGCATGCTGCTATGCAGAGGGACCTGGGTGTCCTTGTGCATGAATCACAGAAGGTAGGTCTGCAGGTACAACAAGTAATTAGGAAGGCAAATGGAATTTTGTCCTTCATTGCTAAAGGGATTGAAATTAAAAGCAGAGAGGTTATGTTGCAGCTGTACAAGGTGCTGGTGAGGCCACACCTGGAGTACTGTGTGCAGTTTTGGCCTCCTTACTTGAGAAAGGATGTACTGGCACTGGAGGGGGTGCAAAGGAGGTTCACTAGCTTGATTCCAGAGTTGAGGGGATTGGCTTATGAGGAGAGACTGAGTAGATTGGGATTATATTCATTGGAATTCAGAAGATTGAGGGGGGATCTTATAGAAACATATAAAATTATGAAGGGAATAGATATGATAGAAGTAGAGAGGATGTTTCCACTGGCGTGAAGCTAGGACAAGAGGGCATAGCCTCAAGACTAGAGGGAGCAGATTTAGGACTGAACTGAGAAGGAATTTCTTCACCCAGAGGGTTGTTAATCTATGGAATTTCTTGCCCAGTGAAGTAGTTGACGCTACTTCAGTAAATGTTTTTTAAAAAAAGGTAGATTTTTTTTGAACAATAAAGGAATTATTGTTCAATAACAATGGTAAGTGGATCTGAGTCCACGAAAGGATCAGCCATGATCTTATTGAATGGCGGAGCAGGCTCAAAGGGCCAGACGGCCTACTCCTACTCCTAGTTCTTATGTTCTTATGTTCTCTGTCACCTGCCACTAAACCAAATTTGGATCCGAATTGCCCTGAATCCCAAGGGCTGTTTCCTCCTTGACTACACGCCTATGTGGTCAAAAGCATTTCCAAATTTCATGCAGACTGAAACAACCCTCTTGGCCTGTTCATTTTCACCTACTTTTCAGCAACACTCATAGAATATGGGGCAAGTACCATGAATGATTTAATCCCACCCCCTTCACTCTACCTATCTTCACCCACCCCACCCCATCCCACCACACATTCAGAGGTGCTGAGGCCAGTTTTATTGAGTTTCTTTTAAATCACAAGATGTGGGTGTTGCTGTCCTGGCCAGCATTTGTTTTATTTTTTTCATTCATGGGATGAGGCCATTGCTAGCTAGGCCAGCATTTATTGCCCATCCCTAATTGTCTTGGAAAAGGTGGTGAGGAGCTGCCTTCTTGAACTGCTGCAGCCCTGCTGTTGAGATCGTCCTACCCTGTGTCTATGCATACCATTCCACATCTGCT